TTTTCTGCACTTTCCATTTTCCAGAGTTGATAATTACCTGGTTTTATCATTTGCTTAGTTTTACTTGTATTTATCACTAACTCAACCACTAAGCTCTATGCCAGTTGTCTAAATCTGCCCTCATTACATCGATCAAGCAATATTCCATTAACCTCATTTTCTTAAACAAATCTCTCTTTACTCTACCCTCCTACCTGATTGACAGTTTGGCTAGCTATAATGTTCTGGGCCAGAGATAATTTCTCCTTAGATTTTTGAAACTCATAGTGCCATTACAGTCTACTTTCTAATTCTGTTAAGAAACTTTAAGCCATTTTTCTCATGGAAATTTGATATATCTTCTCTGTACAGAGTTCTGAATCTTTCCAGTGATATGCCTTAGTGTGGGTTGATTTTCATCAGCTTTACTGGTCACTGACTGGGTTGCGTTTTTCAGTCTGGAAAAGCATGTCTTCTGTTTTGATTTTTTCTTATGATACTTTTCTCCATCCCTTTCCCCTCTTTTCTGTTTTCTTTCTTGCTGGAACTCCTTTTGTTCAAATACTGTACCTACTGGACTGGTCCTCTAATTCCTTTTTTTTTTTTCTTCTCTTACTTTCCAATCTTTTATCTTTTTGCTATGCTTCCTGGAGATTTTCTCAACATTATTTTCTAACTTTTCTTGTCACTAATAATGCCTTAAAATTTTTTTTTTTGCTTAAAGTCTATTTGGCTTGATACTAATAAAGCTAAATTAGCATTTGTATATTGATATATATATATATTCCTATCATTTAACTTTTTATCACTCTAGATTATTATACTCTAGTTGTATCTTTTATCAATAGTCTATACATTCTGAGGATCTGTTAAGTTTAGTTTGTTTACATTTAATGTAATTAACTACTTTTTGATTTACTTAGAGCATCTTATTTTCCATTTTAAAATGCTTTTTCTTCACTTTTCTCTGTTTTTACTTCATTTTTCTTGTTTTCTACTGTCCTTTGGAGTGATTGAATTTTAAAAATCTCCTGGATTGTCCCTACTGGATGGGAAGTTTTTCTGTTAATTGATTACTCAACATTTTTAGCATCAATATTTGACTTTTTATTATCTTTGCCCTTCCAAATAAATCAGGGACCTCTGTTTGCCTTCTCATCTTTCAAACTAGTATTGTCTTGTATTTTGGTTCCACGTTATTTTCAATTTTCTCTTTCAACTATCAGATGCCTTCTCTAGGACATATTTATTGTGAACCTTTGGGATGGATCTCCGTTTCCATATCTGTAAGAAAAAAAAACAAAAGAGAAGGAATGCCTGACTTCCTTACTTCACAAGATGGGTTTTAAGGAATAAATGGGAAAGCAGACATGAATGATATTCACTTGTAGAATTGTGCATATCTGAGGGGAT